TTACGCATCTCTCTTGCTCGTTTTAGAACAGCAAATCATAGATTACGCATTGAAACAGGAAGATGGTATAATATTGTGAGAGAGGAAAGAAAATGTACATTGTGTAACACTTTTATATGTGATGAAATGCACTTTTTATTAGAATGTCCAAAACTCTCAGAAATTAGAAACAAGTTTTTGCCTCAATACTACTGTATGTATCCTTCTGCCGTAAAATTCTCTCATTTGATGTCCATTACTTATAAGCCAACTCTATTAAAACTGGCAAGTTGTATAAGATCATGTATGGAAATGTTCCACTGACATGTTTTCTTCATTGTATCTTATTCCTGTGTCCAATTACATCTCTGTATCACTGCCGTGATTTACGAGAATAAACATCATTCATACTCATACTCACAATTAAGCAAATGAAGCTCCTTAAAACAGGGGCAGTAACTCTGTAACTCTGTCAAAGCTAGTCGAAATGAGACGGGACTGCAATGTGCGTATCATCAACATGTCGACATCTTGTGTGTAGCATTCCAGGGATATTCTCTGGAAACTGTAGGAGGAGTTGATTTCACAAGCTTAGTATCCTCTGTGGGTCGGACAGACGGACGGACGGACGGACTGTGTCACGACATAATCCCCCTTCGGCCATTCTGGCCAGGCGGGGGATAATAGGTTCGATTTTGCTATCACTGAGCTTAAGGTAATTTGAAGACATCCAGCTTTAAATACTTTCAACACACTCTTGGATTGATGATGTTAATTTTGAGGGGCTCTACATCAACTCAAAATGCCTTATTTTAGTTTTTGATTGAAAACCAGTGAACTGTGTGGTAGCCATAATGAGTGAGTGAGTTGGGTCTTACGCCGCTTTTAACAGTATTCCAGTTATATCACGGCGTGTCAGCTTAATGTGGGAGGAAAGCCCGAAGTGATGCAGGTCTCAGACGTTTACCAATTCGGTGAAACCCACGAGCACAGGTATGGTGCTGACAAACCTAGAAACATAATCGGGGCGAACCGGGATTCGAACCCACAATCATAGGTTTCTGGCGTGCCCCTAGGGACGCAACTCTGCACAGCGAATCGCGGCGCCTTAGACGACTGGGCCACCCGTGGCATCTGTAGCCATAATGAAAGAAATGATGATATTCGACATTCCTGCTACCCTTCCGCTCTGGAGTGTCAACAGAGACGGTGTTGATGTGGAAACCAACCACAAACACCAGGTCTACAGGGGTGCTATACTCCAGCAAAAAAGACACAGGTATCTAAGCTTATCAAACAGGATTAAAAGCTAGGCTCGTTTCACTCGACAATTACATGAAGACAAATAGAAGCCGGGGGTCCATTAATGCAAGATTAACGCATGAGCCATCGCCTCCTGGCCAACGACTCTAGACAAAAACTCATAATTTAATCATTGGGATAAAAATATTTCATGACCAAAGGCCTGTCGAGCCCATTCTACCACCCATCTCAGTGAAGTCAGGGTCGAATTAGTGTGTTGGGCAAAAGGAAAACCTATTCCTGGCTAAAGTGCCGTCAACCCGTCCTCAAAACAGGTTGCCCATTTTAGTTGCCTCTTATGACCAGCAATGGGTTGCAGTGGACACAATCTTCACTAGGTGACCCATTGGGTGAAATATCGAAGAGGTTATGCTCCATATGTCATTTAGTTATACAATATGAAATCCTTTTGTATGTCAATATCATTGTTATTTATGAAATATGTTAGGACCAGAACGTTATCTATCACATAATCTGGTACCTGCTTTTACTTCTCTTCTCTCTTTAGGAGATGGTGTTGTCACAATAAAACTGGTTTTATATGTCAAACATGTTGTTTTTCCCTTTTAACGAACTTTTAAAGTAAAGAATTATAAAAGGCCTTTATTGCAATAAATACCCTTTACTTGACGATACCAATTATATCATCACGGTATTTATTAATTCAACTACACATATACAGTTATGTCAACTCACTGAATTTCATTACATGGAGTGAGTGAGGGAGTTTTACGTCACATCGGCAATATTCTAGCCATACTTTGACGAGATACGATTGTTGGAAATAATGTCATATTGATTATAAATCTTAAATCAGATTCTGCTACGATCACGAAAGCATGATTAGAAGTCCGTTGGTTTTGTAACAATAAGAGCCAACCAGATGATGTCAGTATGTTTTATAGAAAATATTGGTCTTCGACTGACAATGTCTTCTTTACACCACGGTCCCATAAACCACACAGTCCGTGAAGATCATCAGCTGTAAGTGATGAAAATAAACATATTTAAAATAAGAAATTGTGCACATAAATCATTTGAAAATTGACAAATTGGTCTCTAAACACAAAACATGTTAAAACTTACCACATTCCAACCGGCAGAAAAAAAATTTAAGTAAAGGAGGATCGATGATTCATGATAAGCTGTTTCAATAAGTTTGCAATGAAACTATAATTTGAAAGTAAATAATCATGGAATTAAACATGCAAAGTTTCAGCTTAAATGGTTCGTGGAAAATGATGGTGCAGGCAACTATAATGTAAAATCATGATTAAACATGACACACTGAAATTGCTATATAACTTTGTCTCAGCTCCTTTCCACATAGAAAAATTGTGCATTCACATAATAGATGTTCTGATGACAAAAGACTGTATAATGACTTTCGGCAATGGACAGTACACTAACTAGATTAGTGAGCAAATGAGTGAGTTAAAATTTACTGTTGTATCGACATTATTCAGCCCCTTAGCGATGAGAATAAGTTGATGTATACACAATTGAGTCGGGAAAACAAAGTTACATTTAAAAACAAATTTGTCAAACATATTTTGGCATAACATTTACATATAACACAGGCCAGTTAGCTTACAGTTACCAAAGCTTGCCCACCTTGCTTGGGACCATTGTGACTTATGGCGCCTCAGCTTCCTGCGCGATAATCCAGCAGAATTTACTTCATCACTTTAGCCACTAGATTAAAAACTGATCAGCAATAAGCTTAATTAAAACACTTGTTGATGATAGTTACATCAATTATGATAGGAATATAATTAAATGTCAAACAGGGGGACATTAGTTTTACGGTACTCTAACCTCAATGTCAGAGTATTCAATAATGTCAGTTGGTAAAAGCATTACACCAAAGTTAAAACAAGAAATTTGTTATTCACAAACATACGCTACTGCCTAGAAGTTCATTCTCCTTACACGCGTTGAGAACGCGTGTGCAATGAGTGACCCACGCGTGTGCCATGTGTGTAACACGGGACTGAATTTCAGTTGAATTTGACCAATAGATCCGATGAATAGTGAGGTAAAATTAAACAATGAGAATTGACGGAAACCACGAGCTGAAACGATTGTCGCGGGTTGGTAAATGTTGCAATTAATTAAGTGATTGTGTTTGTGGATTGCGAAAGTTTTTGTTTTGACATTTGTCATTCCAGGTGATTGCAAATATATATATGATGTTCATTCGCCAAAGTTATGCATTAGATGGTAACATTATGATAGAGCAATCACAGCTACTAATGTCCTATTATCTCTCAAAGGAATAAGCCCCACATTCCACTTTTTGTTTTGTTTTAGTAAGAATTAATAAGAAGACTTGGAGGGACTCTACCATTTAACATTAAATATAAGAGAATATTGGAAATGAATATGAAATGGGAATAGTAAACGTCACTGTGTGTGACCATGTAGACAGAATCTCAAAAGAGTTTGTGATTTTTACAATTGACCAAAGCGCATACTGAGTATTGTTGCTTGAGGATGCCAAAGGTAACAGTTTATTATCAGGGAAAATTGGCTCTAAATAATTTTACCTTGTCGATAGGATATCTTTAGGATCTTTTAATCCTTTCTTTCCCTGGTGTTAATCCTTTTACACTAATGGAAGGAAGTCACTCAACCAGTTCATGCATTCTATGCCGGGGTCTCATCTCCACCTGATTCTAAGCAGTGGTCATCTTATTTTTTTTATTGGATTTACATTTCGACAGAACTATCATATATATTGGTCAACGTCATGACAATGGATATCAGTCACTAAAAAGAAAACCCAACCCTACCACGATCAGTACATATTACCAAAATGCAAACAACCTTGGGCAGCTGGGCCCAAATATACACTGATGGATCCAAGAATCCTATCAACAAAAGTGATGGTTACGAGATCCATATCTCCAAACCCAATGCACATGCGGTTGGCCTGCCTGATGGTCAGTCAGTATTCACTGCTGAATTGGAGGCAATTCATCATGCACACAAACTCATACTGGAACTACCGGAAACAAAGGCAGTCATCCTGTCAGACTCACTAAGAGCACTTCAAGCGATCAGCGGCAGAAACTCAAACACAAGGCCAAACACAGTCAATAATATTCTATACGAATATGCAAAACTACCGGACCAAGGGCAATAGGTGGAGCTATGTTGGATCCCGTCCCACATATATTCATGGAACCGAAAAACCAGACACAGTGGCAAAGCCAGTTCAGGACAAAGTGGAGATACAGCCTATTCCCTTTAGTAAACAAGAGATAAAAAGCAAAAGCATAGCCCCCAAATGGCAAGCCCAGTAGGACGCAAGTACGATCGGCAGATGGGAATACAAAATTCAACCCAAGATCCACCAAAAGCAATACTCATACCAAAATGAAAAGAAAGTTAGAATAGCAATCTCACGCCTCAGACTCACTAAAACAAGGTATGTCCATCTTGCAATCAACCCAAATCCATTGCTCACTTGTTACTGCATTGGGCACTCGCGAAGAGCAACCTCCCCATGGTGAGTGCTGGATAACGCTCATAGCTCTTCCCCCGTGTGGAACCGGGGTAGAATGTTTCAACAGCACCCCACTGCTGGTCGCAAAAGGCGACCGAATTGGGCAACCTGTTTGCCGTGGGTTGCGCCCCTGTGTCGGTTGAGGAAGGTAGTCTGGTGGTTGAGGCCATTGGTTCCAGGAATAGCGTTCCTTTGTCCAATACACCACTTCGACCCTGACATCACCTAGACGGGTGGTAGAATGGACCCGGTTCTATCAATCGGCTGGTCAACGCCAAGGCCTGAGCACATATTGTGTTTGAACTGATTTGACTTTTGATTTAACGTTTGTACTTTCAGACGTGGCCAAATTATATATTTTATCAAATTTTGAATTTTGATTGTTAATCATATGAATTGCCTAGAGTGGTATGCCCAGAAGGCGGTGGCTCATGGGCCAATCTGGTGGATTAATTAATATTCAATTAATTCTTCTGCTTGAGTATACCATCTCACAGTATCCTTGGTGCTGCCAGTTGGAGATCCACTGGTCTTTATGACACTCCGTGGTTGGTGGGGAGCTGGGATGATGTACCGGATACACAATCAACATGACACAAACAAACAAAAACAAAACGTGCACTAGATGATTCCTCTGATGAGGAAAACTCTTTTTCGAAGAATTCTTCGAACAGCTGGTCTCGAGTTTTAGTGGTTACTGCTGCTGATGGTACACAATTGAAGCTTAACCCATTTGTCATTTCTAAGGCAATTTATGGCATTGCAGGCGATGTTCAGGACGTAAAGAAAATTCGTTCGGGATTTCTACTGATTGACTGTAAAACTGGAAAAACAATCTAATTTATTGCCAGCTGTCAAGCATTTGGTTTCAGTTCCTGTGTTTATTTCCCGACAAAAGACTCTTAATTTCAGAAAGGGCATTGTCAAGAGACAGAGAACGTTGTCTCTGTGATATGACAGAGACTGAAATAGCAGATGAGTTACATGATCAAGGAGTTACAAACGTCAAACGTTTCACGTATAAAAGAAATAATCCGATCTTCAAATCAAACACCTATCTCATGACGTTCTCAAAACCAGCTCCTCCTAAAAATATCAAAGCAGGATATTTTAACAGTTAAGTGGATCAATACATTCCCAACCCACTTCGATGTTACAAATGTCAGCAGTTCGGGCATGGTGCACAGTCATGCAACAATCGCAAACTATGGCTTCAATATGGCGAAAATGACCACAATACAGATGACAAATGAACTAAAAGCCCCCACTGTGCAAATTGTTCTGGCGATCATGTAGCCTCTTCAAAGTCCTGTCCCAAGTTCAAACTTTAGCTTCAGATTGTTAAGCTAAAACATGAGAAAAACATTACCTTCCTTGAAGCAAAACGTTTGATCCTGCAATCTGTTTCACCGACCACAGCTGTGTCCTACTCAGCAGCTGTGACTCTCACACCTTCTAGATCTGTCACGTCTGTCCATTGCCAGACAGATATTACTTGGATCTCAAAAGGAAAGTATTCCTTATTACGGTCAAGTACTTCTTCCCAAACAAATGATGCACCACGATCAACGCATGTGGCAACACCATCAATGACAACTGCAACAACTCCAACGCCTTTCCCTGTTGTCAAAAATGCCAGCAAAAGAATTGATTACTCAAAACATTCAGATCGTGTGCCAAAGGGTCATCGTGACCCAATACAGATTTATAATCGTTTTGAAACCTTTGAGGATATGGATGTCTCTCCTCACCATCCAGGGGGCAACAGAAGTAAGTCGCCAAGAAATGGGAGACGTAGATCTCCTGTGCATCCACCAGTAACTTGAACATTATGAATCCACTGATTCAGTGGAATTGCAGAGGTCTTAGGACCAATTTTAATGAAATACATTTATTAATCAAAGATTTTACGCTGTCAGCAATCTATCTCCAGGAGACATATCTCAAAGAGACTGATAACTTTGATTTGCGTCGGTATAGTTCTTACCATTCATTTTCTCCTCCAGGTGTTAAAGCTTCTGGAGGATCTTCTGTTTTAGTGAAACAGGGAGTGATCCACAGCCCTGTTTCACTTCCTACCAATCTAGAAGGTGTTGCAGTCCGACTGACTTTGCACATAACCTTTACACTGTGTTCTCTGTACATTTCACCTTCTTCTGTGCTTCAGCGATCAGATCTTCAATCTTAATTTGACCAGCTCCCTAACCCATGCATGATCATGGGTGACTTAAACGGCCATAATCCATTATGGGGAAGTGTTGCCGTCAATCCTAAGGGAAAGACCTGTGAAGATCCAGGGTAAAATAGGTCTTCAGCAATCTATGTCATATAGCTGGAATATTGCTGAGTGCGGCGTAAAACAACAAACCAAACCAAACCAAACCAAACCTAAGGGAAAAGTACTTGACGATTTTATTTCTGATAACAGTTTATGCATTTACAATGATGGATCAAATACTTATTCACATCCTGCTACTGGAACTTATTCCGCTTTGGATCTGTCACCAACAGATTCAAATCTATTAAACGAATTTATGTGGTCGGTCAATGATGACTTGTGTGGAAGCGACCATTTTCCCTCAATATTAACAGCACTTAATCCATCTGATGTTCCACCTACATCAAGGTGGAATTTTAGGAACTTTCAGGGACTCTGTACTGATAGATTAACACCTGATATGTTCAGGACTGTTACCGACCCAATCCAATCGTTTTCAGACAAGCTGAATGAAATTGCTGATATAACCATCCCTAAGTCCTCTGCAAATCTACACATTCGAAAACCATGGTTTGATAAAGAATGTTAACAGGCTAGGAAAAGCAGGACAAAAGGGGAGAAATATTTCCGCCAACATCCAACTGTACATAATTTGGACTGTGTTAAAATCACAAATGCCAAGGCACGCCGTACATTCAAACAGAATAAGCGTAAGTCTTGGAGGAATTATGTCTCTAAAATAAATTCTCGCACGCCGATATCCAAGGTGTGGAACATGATTGCTAAAAGTAAAGGTAAAGGCTCAAAATCGACTGTCCACCATCTCAAGGAAGGTGACCATCTGTTAACAGATAAATTGGACATTGCTAATAAATTGGGCGAGACGCTGGCCAAACACTCTTCATCGACAAATTATGATCCCAACTTTCAAAAATATCAGAAACAACAGGAAAAGAAGAGGGTTGATTTTACTTCTCAAAATGGAGAAGATTATAATGAGGTATTTTCGTCCACGAGCTAAATACTGCACTAGGTCAAGCGCACGATACTGCAACGGGAGATGATAATATTCACTATCAACTCCTGAAGCATTTGCCTGATTCATGTTTAGAGACACTTCTTGATATATTTGATCACGTTTGGACATCAGGGAATTTTCCTCCTTCGTGGCATAACGCAATAGTTGTTCCCATACCTAAACCTGGTAGGGACCTTAGTGATGCATCTAATTATCGACCAATATCATTAACTAGCTGTGTGTGCAAAACCATGGAACGTATGGTAAATAATCGACTGGTGTGGTACTTGGAAACTAACAATCTCATAAGTAACATTCAATGTGGTTTCCGTCAAAATAGAAGTACCATTGACCATCTGGTACGTTTTGAATCCTTTGTCAAAAATGCAATTGTCAATAATCAGTATGCAGTTTCAATCTTTTTTTATTTAGAAAACGATACCACTTGGAAGCATGGTATTTTAAAGGATCTACATAATTTGGGGTTAAGAGGCTGTTTGCCTCAATTTATATCCCAATTTTAACAGACCGACAGTTTCAGGTTCGTGTAGGGTCCACCCTGTCTGACCATTATAATCAGGATCAGGGAGTCCCACAAGGCAGTATTTTTTTCTGTAACTCTGTTTAGTTTAAAGATTGATGGTATGTCAAAGGTTTTAAATGATTCCATTGATGGTTCCCTTTTTGTGGACGATTTTAATATTTCAAGCCGTGAAATTGTTTTGCGTACCATCGAGAGACAGTTGCAGCTATATCTCAACAAAATCGAAAAATGGTGTCTTGAAAATAGTTTTTAGTTTTCAAAAGCTAAGACCAATTGTCTTCATTTTTGTAGAAATACAAAGACCACAAAGATCCAGAGCTCTTTTTACATGGCACTCCTATCAAGGTTGTAAAAGAGGCCAAGTTCCTGGGTCTCCTTTTCGATCACCATTTAACTTTTAAGCCGCATATTAACTATCTTAAAACCAAATGCCTGAAGGCTCTAGATTTGTTGAAAGTTGTCGCCAACACAAAGTGGGGAGGTGATCAGTCAACCCTCGTACACTTGTATGGCTCCATCGTTTATGGTGGAGCCTGTAAGAGCAATTTACAAAAATTAGATTCGATTCACCATCAGGGCCTAAGACTATGTCTTGGCGCATTTCGAACGTCTCCTGTGGATAGCTCATATGTAGAAGCTGATGAACCATCGTTGAAGCAACGGCGTATCAAATTATTGCTGCAATACATCACAAAATTACGTTCTAACCCGTTAAACCCTGCATATAACTGTATATTTCAACCCCTTTACAAAGTACTTTTTCATAGTAAGCCTAAGCTGGTCCCACCACTAGGCATTCGGATTAAACCCCACATCACAGCTGCCAATATTGATATAGATAATATTTCTCCTTTCAGGCTTTTGTCTTCTCCTCCTTGGCAACTTATCAGATCGGAGGTGGACTTTAATTAATAATATGAATCCCACCGTTCCATTTTTACAGATGGATCCAAGGACGGTAGCACAGTCTCCAGTGCTGCTGTGATTGGATCAAAAACCGCATCATCCCGCTTACCTGACCATAGCTCAATTTTCACCGATGAAGACAAAGCAATATTAATTGCTTTGGAATATATCCCAAAACAGTCCAGTTGTAAACGGTTCATCATCTTTTCAGATTCATTATCGTGTCTACAGGCAATCAAATCTAGCTCTTCACGTCATCCATTCATTTTAGATATTTTAGAATTATATAATGACCTTGCTACTGGCCAATACGACATCGTCTTTTGCTGGTTGTCCAGTCATGTTGGAATCACGGGTAACACTATGGCTGATGCTGCAGCAAAGGCAGCTCTCAACAAATCTGTGACACCACTTCTTCTACCATACAGTGACTATAAACCTGTTATTAGATTCAAAGACCTAATGCAGAAGAAGTGGGACACTCAAGTGGGTATAAATAAATTACATGCAATAAAAGTAAATATCGGTTATACCTACTTGGGTTGTAAGTCCAGATTTGAAGAAGTCGTATTAAGACGATGTCGTATTGGCCATTCTCGTTATACTCATGAATATTTGTTAAAACGTGAGGATCCTCCATTCTGTGTCCCTTGTGATGAAAGAATCATAGTCAAGCATGTCCTGCTCGACTGCATTGATTTTTCCATCACAAGGGATAATTATTTCCAGGTTTAATCTATGAAGGATCTTTTTAATGTAAGTGCTCATTTAGTTATTGGTTTATTAAAAGAAATTGAATTAATAGATACATTTTTATCAAATGTATTGTAAAAAGTATGCGATTTTAATTTGGTAAAATGATTATATAACTGTGATTGTTAGTGGCTGTACCTTCAAAGGGGGTTGAAGTAACATAAAATAATTGTCCCCCTAAGAGGGTACATAAGTCCTATTTCATTCAAAGTATTTTTCATTTTCAATGTTTTTAATCGTAGAATTCTTTTTTTTTTTTAATGATTTGGCATAAACTTACTGACAATCACAAGTAGCCAGAGCGATGGTGTAAATCTTGCTGGGTTACCATGTAGGTAGCAGAAGTATCGTAAGTCCCCATGGCACCTAGTATGGTGACCTACCTTTGGTTATTGGTGATCTATAGCCCATTTTTAAAGTTTGTCCCCTTTCAAAGTATATTAATTTCAGCCACGTTTTTATTCGTAGTATATATGTTCGTTTAACTTTGGCTAAACTTGTCAATAATCGTCAACAGCTGAAGGGATGATGTTAATCCGGCTTGGGTCCATGCAGGTAGCAAAAGTACTGTAAGTCAAATGGTAATCTACCTTAAGCTGATGGCGATCTATAGCCCGTTTTTATACTGTACCGTTGCTTATAGTGATATCCTTTTAAAGTTGTATGCTAGTTTTAAATATTAATCTGTGATATTCTAGTAATTTTACTGTCAATCGATGACAGGTTTTTATTTAGTTTAAATATATGTATTAAAAATGAATCATTTCTCGTCACGATACGGCTGAAATATTGCCGATGTGACGTAAAGCATAAACTCACTCACTCACTATTGTGTACTGTTATGAATTGTTCAAATTTTATGATGATGTGCTAGTTTTAAGTCTACATCTGTGATAGTCTAGTGTTTTTACTGTCCTTTGTCGACAGATTTTAATGTCTATACTTATGTATTATTAATGTACAACTTGATTTAGTCACGATATGGCTGAAATATTGCCGATGTGACTATAAATCTTAACTCACTCATGTGTAGGAAGTTAAAGGAGGGGTACAGTTTATAGAAGATCAGGGTTCGACAGGACAGATATCTCGAAGGAGTTATATTTTTCCCAGCTCACTGATGGAGACAAGTTGTCTTCTGATAGGTAGATGTTATGTTACCTGTTAATGTGACATGTTTACAGTGAACAAATGGTCATTCTGTGCCATCATTGTTCGAATGGGATTTTGTAACAACAACAATAACATGACACTTGTGAAAAGGAAACAGAATATAATATGTAGTAAAATTACGCATGTCATCAGGTTCTGAACTAATGTCATTTGCTTGTTGCAATCATGTTATTCAGTTATGGCCATAATAGCTATTGAAGTGTTCAGTCAGGCACGACGAATATCTAAAAACTATATTCAAATAGAATGCACGTGTTACATTAATTATTTATTTTCGAACAAGGTACACTGGTGACAGCATTCTATGATGCATGGGAAAAGTACTGTAAGTCCCCATGGACCCCAGCATGGTGATCTACCTTCAGCTGCTGGCGATCTATAGCCCGTTTTTATATTGTACCGTTACTTATAGTGATATCTTTTTATAGTTGTATGCTAGTTTTAAATATTTATCTGTGATGTTCTAGTAATTTTACTGTCTATCGATGGCAGGTTTTTATTTAGTTTAAATATATGTATTAAAAATGTATAATTTCTCGTCACGATATGGCTGAAATATTGCTGATGTGACGTAAAGCATTAACTCACTCGCTCACTCACTCACTATGATGCATGGAGTGATTTCATTGGTATAGGGTGAACCGTTTGGAATACTTTCTGTTTTGCTCTGTTATGCTTTGTTTTGCTCGTTTAATATTAGATATAGTCTTAAAAGAAGTAGTGGATATTTGAAGACAACAAATGATTACAGAAATACGGGTTACGGTAATGGGTAGATGAGAAATAGGAAGGACTAGGTGTAACATGACCATTAACAGAACATTTCGGCGGTGTATTGTGAGGGTGCAAACATCCAACAAAGACAACAGTAGTGTGTAGTAAACAAATAAACGTTTCAGATAACTTAATCAATAATAGGTCATGCCCCAGGATTGTTTACACATTCGTTTATACCCAGAGGCATGTAGGGCATGGTAGGCAGTTACGATACGTGCTCGGTGAGTACGAAGGTTATCGTGATTAAAGCAAAACGTGGACCAGCATGGTGCGGAAAGGGTACAACTATTGACGTCAGTATAATTGAGAGTGACTCAGATTCATCTGAAAACATAACACGAGACCATCTGCGATTTCCAAGTTTCAGCGGTTTGAACATCCTTGGCGTTTGGCTAGAATGTGTCGATTTATTAACGGTGATACAGCACGTGGTCGACAATTTCTGTTTGGAATTTCTAACAGCCTGTTTTGTTTTATACATCGACCTTTGAACTTCGTTTTCCGTCTTAGGCGCCCAGTGCGGGGCCAATCATTAACATTTTGTGTCCGCAGAAACCTGTTCCATAGTCTGCAAATCACATTCTGAGACACCTTGAACATATCTCGCCGAGTTCTATTAGTTTGAAGCATACAGACAGCCCAATCTGATCGTAAATAGTGCATTAAAGCAAGAGTAGAGAGCTTGCGTGTTACCGTGGATAATAAAAATCAGTAATATTAATTTTCAGAGTGATTTGCCGACCTTTCATTGAAGTGACAAAATCATGTATGATCCCAAAAGCCCATGAGTGGAGGAATTGTATGGTCCACGTGCAATGTTGCGGATGCTTTGGGGCCTTAGCGTTTTGTTACGAAACCGTTCTATGTCCTGCAGTCATTATTTCGATAATGATCTTTCTTCTGACGACCGATCACATCTATATTTCAAGATCCCCTAGTTGTTTGGAGAATAAGTTTTAAAATACAAGTACTCTGAAAATGCCAGAAACACGAATTGGAACAGCTTCAAAACGTATCATCAAAGGTGGGACCAAATAACAAAGGTTCAACTTCCCAATGCTTCAACGGTTCTTGGGTAGATGTTTAAGGTCGCAGACGAAGATTGACAAACAATGACATAAGCTCAGTTGATGTTCAGTTTGGTGAGCTTAAATATGTATGGTTACGTGTTCGTGGTAAAAGAGAGGTTTTGTTTAAAGTAATAACGATCATTTCATGTGAGCAGTGAATGTAATGTCAAACTTACACTGTCTATTTCTCCAGTAAAACCATCACTGTCGCTGCATTTGCCTATCACAAGCCCTGCTTGCTTCCTCCTCAGACTACCTGAAACAACACGAAACAATTCAGATTGAAAGGTAGTGAAATTCATATATTGACCATGCTTAATTAATACAAGCAGAAGAAACCAATTTTGATAATTTAAGGTTCGTCTTTCATATTTTAATAAATCAAATATTTACTATAAATGATATGACGAATTCATATTTAGCATTAACCTTTAATGTTATTATGTACTTTGATCTGTTAGATACCAATATACATTTGTGGTTTCTTATAACCTGTCACTCATGGACTCATGGATCTGTGGTGAGCGCGCTTCTACATTTCGATGTCCAGTGACGGTCTGGGTAAGTAAGCAGTAAAAAACAAGTCGGAAAAGTCTGATGATGTTAAATACATTAAAAGACCTACCGAAAAAAACTGGGTTTGTCTTTTGACTCTTGTTCACAGACGCTTTTACTTTGGTGCCCTCGTAGATTAAACTGACCATGTTCCACTCGTTTCTCTAGTTTGAAAACACATACAAACATACACAACAAACATGTAACCAAAGCCTAGCGTACATGTGTATCCACTTTCAATATTCGAAGGATGTCTTTTAAAGAAATTCTTAAACATCTAAATAATTCATTTTTGAACATACAGTTAATTGGAGGAGAATGACCGTTAAAGAACATTTAAGTTTAGGGTAAATACAAACGTACTGATTTGGCAAAAAGGATATAAACAAAAACAAGGTATACGTTTAATCTTCAAAACACAACGTTCCAATATGTTTCATTTGTATCGTCAGGGAGAACGAAGTTACACTGATTGTGACGCCATGCGACGGTTTCAGTTGTTATGGAAAGAACTCTTTAATAGAAATATTCTTAAATCAACCCTGCACTATATAAGCTTAAATATTACAGAGGCATTTGCCTTGTTGACCATCACAACGTCACTTTAAACTCTTGCCTATTTACATTAGTGAAAAGAAGTCACTTAAAATAGATTGATTAATTCATAACTTATCAAATCTTTGGGCGTTATGTTTTACTTCACTTACTTTGTAAGGAATCTGAACATGCCACAATGGCGAACTGTATGTGTGCACTCTAAAGACAACCGTACCATCACTGGTATGCAACCTGATGTCAACCGAAGCACTCTCAACGTCATTCCCATGAAGACAATCTGACAACAGTACCATTCTGTCGGATCCTTCACGAGCGAAAAACTTTAAGTGGACAGCAAATTTGTACCCCATCGTTGTGCCATTCAAACGTTTGATGATCATCATGCTTTTGTCATAAAACTGACCCGTTCCGTATGCTGTAGGCTGAATATGAAACATTTCGAAGTCGTTGCCAGAACTACTTATGTCTTCGAATGGGCTGTCACCATCAAAGGTCATTTCAAATTTAGGATGGCATGCTGAAAACAGAATTTGAATTTAAATTTCTAAAGAGAAATGTAAATATTATAAGCCAGAGGATACAGTATGACGAACGAACAAAACTGTTTAATGTGTACATGTATTTAATTGATCTTATACAATCTTGAAACTGTTTTACCTGGGTGATCCTGGAATCCCGTTGGGGGATAGTCGCAACGACATAGTTCCTCCCTGAATATGGTCCCATCTGGACACGGACGGATGATGGCCAACTTATGCACCATGCGATAATAATAGTGGAAATTGCCATCGACTTTCAGTCTGTCGTCACACACTGATAACATATAATGTTTAATGCAACATTCTGAAAAGACATAATATGAATAAAACAAATACTGTAATATACGATATCGGTGGTTTCCGAATTTGTTCATTCATCACTTTGTTAGTAACCAGTTGATTTTGTTCACTATATCTTATTCAGGACGGACTAAACCCATCTGGGTTTTTTGGTGTGTTTTTTTAAGGCCGCACTGAGCAATATTCCATCCGTAAGACGGTGGTATGTAAATAATCGAGTCTGTACCAGACAATAGACATCATGATCATCGATCTTCACAAACAGGACACGTTGGTATACTTCAACCAATTTAGCGAGCCTGGCCACCCGTTCCTGTTAGTTTCCTCTTACGACATTTGTCCATTTGTGTTATGTATGTTCTGAAAGGGTCCTATGCCTGAAGATTTTCATATACACTGTTGAAACATATACAAATACGAAATAGATAAAACTGATACGGGCCCGACCTTTCCATTTACCCAAACAAAATATGATCTGAAAACAATCGTTCGGCCATGTCTTCCAAATATCTAAAAACAATTCTTTGCGTCCTGTATTAGTGAAGAATATTAATATAGGAAGCTACATGATTTGATCCAATTCTTTGACTTTGACTTTATATTTTAAGGCAATGGAGTCCAAATAAGAAATGTTACACCCGGAGAAGCAACAAATTCCAGCTCGCCCCCGGACATTACTTATTTCAGTTGATGTAAAGCCAAACCTTAAGTCTCTTCACATGCTCTCAGGATTTACTCTACACACTACTTGGTTATCGCACTGTTCATAAACAACAGGTTTTTCATAAATGTATACTTTGTTCTACTTACTATATGGAATATTGCCTGTGTGTCGTTATTTTGTTGTTGTTGACAAATCATGATACTTTGAAGTTCAAATATTCTCTCCTTATTGACTCATTACGAAATAGATACAACAGTTGTTATGTAGTGATATAATGAAGATCTATCAAATGATCTCATGATTTGGGACTTGATCAAATTTCGCATTAAAATCATAAAAAAATGAACACTCTAAATTACAGACCAAATAGTGGATTCAATAAAGTGATCTGGTACAGACGACGGCAGTACTTGAAGATCAACTCATATGCAAGACAGATCAATATGAATGATAAGTCGAAATAAGAATTGGAAGAAATATATATAGAGAGTGAGATCCAGATTAAATTTGACTGAAATGGGGCAAAGCAGTAACAGCAACATTTTTTAGTTCAGAGAAATCAAGGCAAGGTTGATAGACATAATAGGAGATAAAGAAGACAGCGCTCAAGAGCAGGCAAACCAGTTTACGAAATAGGATTGTTCAGATCCACTTAAACTGTTCCTTCGGTATATTTCTAAAGTATGTTCACATCTTGTTAAGATTGTAGAGGTGCCATTTTGGTAAAACGACGTTATTTTTTCGTTTGGTAATTCTGTGTATATATTACAACGTAATGAACGTTGGTGTTATTCATTAAACAACCCATAGAGCCAAACGTGGGTTCACTTAAGAAAATGAACTGATGAATGTTTGTCATCATAAGGGTTAACATATTTTTTTCACAAGATCTCTGCATAATTTGCAATATATCAGGGAAATATACATTCTAATTTTCGTTTTTAGCCGATAATTCCAATGATCAAAACATTATTTGAAAACAACAAAATTCATGTATTAATCACGGAACCCATCCATTCCTATACCCCACCCCACTCTCAGTAGGGAATAAAAAGTAGCAAGCAGATCACAAAGAGACATCTAACTCTAAAGTACTTTACTCATTTGCATTATGATGTCATGTACACATATCATGTGCGTTTTCGTTACATTAAAATACCCTATGATATTAGATTTCGCTTCCTTCATATTTTAACGCACTATTAATACATAGATTTATATTGGTAACGAACTTACTGGAAGATATATCATACCCAGGGTCGCATTCTGGGTTACAGGAAGGATTAGGAATACAGCCATGGTTCCACGTGAAGGTCGCTTTGTTCGGGCAGCACTTCATAACTGGTTTCTCATTTTCACATTGCCAGTAAGCACGACAGTTGTTCTCATATGGAAACGACGTGCCTGAAGCGTTTGTACAACGTTCTAAAAACACAGTATGTGAATTAATTACCGAACGTAAAATTATGTGTATATGGCACAAAAGACGAAATGTGAACATCAACGTGTTATGCAAGGGCGTTAGAGCTAATATGCCGATTTCCAAAGGGTTACCGGAAGATAAAAGACATTATTCAAGTAATATATACAAAATAAAGTACACCTGATTATCATGGATGACGAAAACACAATCAAATAAGTTATTTGATAAAGGGATAACCAAGAACGATCGGATTCACAAATTGAGGCTGTGAAATTATACCTGAAATATTCAGCAATTTCTCCTCGATAGTTTCATGACTTGTTGTAGAAATCAAGTCATCGGTTGTTGTGTCCATTTTTGTAGGCGTATTAGAAGGGGCTTGTGGCTTCGATTTCATTGGCATCTTTGGAGAAGTACGGACAAGGGGTGTTGGTCTTGCGGTCACAGTTGTTGACGGAGTTGTAGATAATGAAGGTGTACTTCTAGATGTAGATAATGCAACGGTTGAATGGACTGTTGTAATAGGATTGTATGTAGTTGTCGACAGTGTTGTGGAATACGTTATGGTCGACGATGTTATTGTTGATGTGGATGGGGTCTCTCTAGTGGCCGATGGGGTTGTAGGTAATTTTGTGGTCGATGGGCTTATCGTAGTTGTAGATGATGTTATAGTGGTTGTTGGTGGAGATCGGATTGTATTCGATTGGGTGACTGTGAATGGGGTTGCTGAAGTGATAGAATGAGTTTTAGGTATTGCTGTGGCTGGCAGGGATGTTGAAGTTGTAAACGGGGTGGTTGTAGTTTGGCTTTTAGGTATCGTTGTAGGTGATAAAGCTGTTGTAATTGTTGATATGATTGTAGGTAAGTGTGTGGTTGATTGGGGTATAATAGTTGTAGATGGGGTGAATGTAGCTGTAAATTGGGTTGTATTAGATGTTTGGGTTTTAGGTATCGTTTTAGGTGATGAAGCTGTTGTAATTGTTGATATGATTGTAGTTAAGTGTGTGGTTGATTGGGGTATAATAGTTGTAGATGGGGTGAATGTAGCTGTAAATTGGGTTGTATTAGATGTTTGGGTTTTAGGTATCGTTGTAGGTGATGAAGCTGTTGTAATTGTTGATATGACTGTAGGTAAGTGTGTGGTTGATTGGGGTATAATAGTTGTAGATGGGGTGAATTTAGCTGTGAATGGGGTTGTATTAGATGTTTGGGTTTTAGGTATCGTTGTAGGTGATGAAGCTGTTGTAATTGTTGATATGACTGTAGGTAAGTGTGTGGTTGATTGGGGTATAATAGTTGTAGATGGGGTGAATGTAGCTGTAAATGGGGTTGTATTAGTTGTTTGTGTTTTTGGTATCGTTGTAGGTGATGAAGCTGTTGTAATTGTTGATATAATTGTAGGTAAGTGTGTGGTTGATTGGGGTATAATAGTTGTAGATGGGGTGAATGTAGCTGTAAATGGGGTTGTATTAGTTGTTTGGGTTTTAGGTATCGTTGTAGGTGATGAAGCTGTTGTAATTGTTGATATGATTGTAGGTAAGTGTGTGGTTGATTGGGGTATAATAGTTGCAGATGGGGTGAATTTAGCTGTAAATTGGGTTGTATTAGATGTTTGGGTTTTAGGTATCGTTGTAGGTGATGAAGCTGTTGTAATTGTTGATATGATTGTAGGTAAGTGTGTGGTTGATTGGGGTATAATAGTTGTAGATGGGGTGAATTTAGCTGTGAATGGGGTTGTATTATATGTTTGGGTTTTAGGTATCGTTGTAGGTGATGAAGCTGTTGTAATTGTTGATATGATTGTAGGTAAGTGTGTGGTTGATTGGGGTATAATAGTTGTAGATGGGGTGAATGTAGCTGTAAATGGGGTTGTATTAGTTGTTTGTGTTTTTGGTATCGTTGTAGGTGATGAAGCTGTTGTAATTGTTGATATAATTGTAGGTAAGTGGATAGTTGCAGGTGATAACGTTGTTGTGGTTGAGGTCGAAGTGGTAGAGCTAGTTATAGTCTTAGACTGTGTTGTTTTAGAAAAGGTACTTCCAGATAAAATAGTATTAAGTGAAGCCTCCGTGGATACTGGATTTGTGGGTGAATATGTAGTAACAAATGACCTAGATTGGATGGTTGTATTCAGTGGAGATGCTGTAGATGTTGTATCAAATGTCCTTGGGTGATTGTTGTTAATGATATGTTTATCAAACATTGTGGGAGGTGGGGATGATGTTAGCAATATGTTGGTAAATGAATTTACTAGGTGTGTAGTTATATAAGGGGTTGCGGTAGTGGTGTGTGTGGTCGTTATGATTGACGATGTGTGTACTGCAATGGGCGTAATAGCAGTTGTTATTGTATATTTGGTACTGGTGTTCTGTTTTATGGGAGAAAGAGTAGGCGTTCTCCAAATACTAGAAGATTTTGTAGTGACAATCGTAGCTGATGTGTGTTTTTGTTTTGCCGCAGTAGTGTTTGTTTGACCCGACCATGGTTTGGATGCGGCTTTGAAAATAGGACTTTCCCCTGCGGTGATTTTAGGTGTCGCAGTGGCAGAGCCTTTGGCACTTGATATGGTTGTATCACTGGGCACGTGAGTACTCACTATGCCACTGTCTGAGATTAATTTACCTGAAGTTGTCGTGTTTGGTAACAGTCTTACCAGGGCATGTGGGGTGTCTGCTTTTGTTGTGTTATTTAAAGAAGTAGCATTTACTCTGGATAGTGAGGCTGATCCAAATCTACCACGAGGTAAACTTGTCGTTGAAGCTGTCACATTGAAAGTGGTTGATGGAAGTAATTCCGCTTTCCCTGAAAATGTTTTGACATTTTAAATTGCACAATGTTTTTGTTTCTTTTATCAGTAAAAATAAACTTCTAAAATTCTGAAAAGGTTACGATATGAGTATTATTTTGACATATCTTGCTGTTCATTAATCTTAGAACACGAGAACAAATAGATTGTAGTAGTACCTGCTTCTGTTAGTTTTGTAGTCGTGTTCTGTGGAGACATATCTGGGACTTTCGTGGATTCAGTTCTGTATTCCTTGTTACTTGAAGTTTCAAGTCTAGTTGTCAGTACAATTTGGGCAGTTTGAGTTGTTCTGATGTCTGTCAATTGTGTTTGACCAGACGATACCACTGTATCCAATGATTGGACCTCTCCATCTTGATTTCCACCTCCAAGTAAACTAAGCACATTGTAGCTATTGCCTGCGTTCGTCATTCCTTCAGAATTTACAACATTATCTGTATTATCAGCAAGGTTCAATATCATGTTCACTTGGGAATTACTGTTCGCCTCGTATCCTAAATTTGGACCACTTGGAAGGTTAATTACCTGGTTGCTCAAAGTATCATAACCACCGCCATTGTGAGCCTGCCACAAGTAAGATGCTTTGTCAACTGGAGTTCCTGTTGACAAAGTGGTATATTATTATAATCATAACATAACCTGATAATCAACATTACATCATAATGTGAATAAAATAGTGATCGAATGATACCAGCATGTACAGCACAACATTGTACGTTTTTTTATTGGTTTATCACAGTGTAGCCGGGTTATGGTGCTCACTCTGAATGAGTTAGCCACATAAGTGCCACCCTCTCATAACCCCCTAGTATTCATTATAACTTCATGTTGTGTTTATTATATGTTGTCCTCTACAGAATGTCAGCCAACTAACATCAACCTTGGTACCCTTTTGCAGCCTCTGTGATTTCTCCAGCTTAATCTCGACTTCCCCTATCTATACTATTCAAAAAGTAGGGGATATTGGATTTACAAGATTTATGACAAGGAAATTGTGAACCCTTTGTCAATTTATCCCACACTTTTGGTACTGCCGGTGAAGCACAGATTTTCCATACTAAGGGCAAAACCAAACCCAGGGTCAAACAGCAAAGTTGGTTGCCATAGCATGGAAGCAAAGTCAATAACTTTTTTATCAACTTCTTGCAACTTCCTTTCTCAGCATTTGTCACTTTTTATTGAGGAAGGTCTCTTATTTCCAGGTGAGAATAATTCAGTATTCTTATCTTTTTCCATCCTGTTCTAGAAACAAATACATTCATAGAAAGGGTATTTTAACTTTTCATTATTTGTTCTCTGACTTTGGTCATTGGTTTCTTGGTTTGACAGCCATATTGGATTCAAGGTTTTCACAGGTTTTTTTCTTCAAATCCCTACGCCTCTAAATCCCCTGCATGAAATGTATTCAAACTTTTTGAGAATTGTCTCCATACACAACGCAACAAATTGTCTTTACCGATTTGGGATATCCTTTTTTAGTTGCGGCCATAATGGATTTTGATTTTGATCATTTTTTTCACCGAAATTTTACTTTAAAGATCATATTTTGTAAGGATGTTGACAGAAACTATTGCAAGTTTACATAAACATATTGTGCCATATGCATCTCATTTATGTTCTTGTTTGCATGCTAAAATGAACACCGCTTGATGGTAATATTTGATTAATATTTGAGACACCCCTGGAACACGCTACTTTTGTAGCGGCGATGTCCTGCAAACGGTGACTATCTTTTGACAGAGTTGGTACAAACAAACCCTTTGTGGATTCGAACATGTGTTACTTGCAGCCCGTCATTGCTGCTTGCAGCTTTAATTTAAACTGTTATTTCTAAATATTTGCCAGTTCACACATTTGTGTTACATTTACTGAGCACACCAATAACCATGTGCTTCAACCATGTGCTATCCCGTTATCCCATATAAATGAGAATCTTTTCCTTTTGGCTTAAATAAGATTAGTTTATTCGGTATGAACTCTTTATGGGGGGAGGTTACTTATTCCCAGCTTCCCTCCAATCATCTGACAAAACAGAATGAGCTTCATCATCCAAGAACATCCTCATGTTATAACTAGCAGTCCAGTGGTTGGACAGATCACACCACGCCCGGCACAAAACATTCATCCCAAAAGGTGTTGACAAACCCATTGATGGAAAAGGGATCCAACATTTACAGAAATCCAATTACTATATCAAATATTTCAAATTCTTAGACATAAAAATATCAGACAAATAGACGAATATGTCATTTGAATAGTCCCTTGTCAGGTGAACCAACAGACTTAGAAGCGGGAAGCACATGCAGGTTCCATTTGCCACGTTTACAATCCAATTCAAACTAGTCTGAGGTAAAAAAAAAAGCTGCTCTGCTAGAAAGAGGTTAGAATGTTTGTTGTTTGGTGTTTGTTGTCGTGCGTTCTTTCTTTGAGATCGGGCACTCGTGAAGAGCAACCTCCCCGTGGTGAGTGCTGGGTAACGCTAATAGCTCTCCCCCCGTGTGGAACCGGAGCAGAATGTTTCCACAGCACTGTTTCATTGCTGGTCGTAAAAGGCGACCGAATTGGGCAACCTGTTTGCCGTGGGTTGCGCCCCTGTGTCGGTGGAGAAAGGTAGTCTGGTGGTTGAGGACACTGGAACCAGGAACCGGTGGTTGAGGGCACTGGAACCAGGAACCAGGAACCAGTGTTCCTTTTGCCCAACACACCACTTCGACCCTAACTTCACCTAGACGGGTGGTAGAATGGGCCCGGTTCTATCAATCGGCTGGTCACGCCAAGCCCTGTGCGTAATATTGTATATGCACACCTGTGTTTGTAATGTGTATTTTGGACTTGGTCATGCATTACTTGTATGAATTCACAATTTTGGATGGAATAAATTGCCTAGAGTCTTACGCCAGAAGGCGGTGGCTCATGGGCCAATCTGGTGATGTTGACCTCTGTATTCTATATGTCTCCACTTTTTTGTCATGGACTGAGCCAGCCTGGCACTACATCTGGTAGACAAATATAGCTATTCAAGTCATATTTGCTGGAGTATTACATCCCTGTATCCCTGGTGTTTGCATGCTGGAAATCCGATGCGCTACAACACTGTCCTTGTTGACACTCCATGGTGGGTGGGGAGCAGGTATGCTGAAACACTTTTCTTTCACCATGTCTACCCAACTACCTGGTTCAATTCGCAACGACAAAAAAAAACGTCTTGAAGATGATGATTCTGGGAACTTTCCCAACAAATATGATTCATGGTCCTGATTCCTGGTGATCGAGGCTGCTGACAAACTACCTTTAAAATTGAATCCGTTTGCTATTTCAAAGGCTATTAACGGACATTGTGGAGAAGTGAAAAATGTCACTCGTCTCCGTAGTGGTTCTATTCTTGTTGAGTGTCTGAAGAAACAGCAATCTCTAAATCTCTTGTCGATCAGTCAGTTTGCTAATGTTGAGGTTGCTGTTTCAGCATACAAGACTTTAAACTCCAGTAGAGGCATTGTTCGAGACAGAGCTCGATGCCTTTCGGACATGTCTGAACAAGAAATTGTTACAGAGTTCAAGGAACAAACGGTGACAGCTGTTAAACGTTTCACCAAAAAGGTCAATGGTGTTATCACTCCCCTGAACACCTGTCTCTTTACATTTGATAGACCAAGTATCCCTCGTTCAATTTAAGCTGGTTATGTTAATATCGGAGTGGAGGTGTATGTCCCCAATCCAATCCAATGTTATACTTGCCAAAAGTTTGGCCATGGTTCCAAATCCTGTGGTCGACATCAAGTTTGCCAGCGTTGTGATGGTAAACATGACAGCACTGAATGTAGGGCAGATGTCAGGTGTGCCAACTGTAATGGCCAACCTGAAGCCTGGTCCAAGTCCTGTCAACTATGGAAAACTGAATCCCAGATATTAAAACTCAAACATCAAAACAATATTTCATATCTGGAAGCCAAAAAGCAAGTAGCTAATCAGTTGCCATCAACTTTAACGTATTTTGCTGCAGTGTCTCGTTCTGTTGCCACTTCATCCATAGAATGTCAGACAGAGTTGACATGGGTTCACTCCGTTCAACCAGTTGAAACAACATCTGTCATTCTGCCCAACAAATCAGATTGTCAGCCCTGTACATCATCTTCAGAATCACAGACTGATTCACAAGCTTTACCAATTATTGAAAACTCCGTCTTCACAGGCCAGAGCTAGGAGTTCTTCACGCTCGCGTGTGAGGTCACCTATTGAGCCACCATGACTCAAATGCCTCATTTGATTCAGTGGAATTGCAGAGGACTCAGGATTTTTTTTAATGAGATACAATTGCTAATTCAGGACTTAACACCATCAGCACTGTGTCTCCAAGAGACTTATCTTAAGCACAACGATATATTTGATTTAAGGCAATATAAGGGGATAAAGCTACTGGAGGTTCTACAATATTGATCAGGCAAGGCATCATCCATAGCACTGTTCCCTTCAATACAAATCTTCAAGCTGTAGCTGTCCGACTTACATTGCACATTGCACTTACTTTGTCCTCCTTGTATATTCCTCCTTCAAATACCCTTCAGCAGGCTGATCTTCAGAATCTTTATGATCAGTTACCGAAGCCCTGTATCATCATGGGCGATTTAAATGGGCATAACCCTCTATGGGGAAGTCCAAATACAAACAGTAAGGGAAAAGTGCTTGAAGACTTTATTTCTGACAACAATCTGCATATCTTATGACGATTCAAACACTTATTGCTACAGGTACATATTCAGCACTGGATCTGTCAATCACAGATTCAAACCTTTACAGCGAATTCGAATGGTCAGTTCATGATGACCTTTTGCGGGAGTGACCATTTCCCTACAATCCTTAAAACTGTTAACCCTACTGACCGTCCACCAACAACAACACGGTGGAATTTTACAAAGGCTGATTGGTCATTATATGAATTATTATCAACTGAAAAATTAACAACATGTTAAAGATCCGATACAGTTGTTTTCGGACATGCTGAATGAAATTGCTGATGAAGCAATTCCAAAATCCTCCGCAATTCCACATATTCGTAAACCATGGTTTAACAAGGAATGCAAACAGGCAAGAAAATATAGGAAGAAAGCGGAAAAGTATTTCCGCCGCCATCCTACAGTCCATAATCTAGATAAGGTTAAAATTACAAATGCCAAGGCACGACGTGCTTTAAAACAAAATAAGCGTCAGTCTTGGAGGAACCATTTCGCCAAAATAAAATCCCGCACGCCCATATCCAAGGTGTGGAATATGGTACAACAAATAAAAGGCAAGGGTTAAAAATCATCTGTTCACCATCTTAAAGAAAGTGACACGTTATTAACGGATAAAACCGATATTGCAAATAAGCTTGGAGAAACGTTAGCTTAACTTTGTTCAACATCTAATTATGTCCCGGAGTTTCACAAATTTAAGAAACAACAGGAAAAGGTAAAAGTAAATTTCACTTCTGATAATGGTGAAGACTATAATAAAGTCTTCTCATTACATGACCTACATACCGCCCTTGGGCAAGCTCATGACACAACAACGGGAACAGATAACATACACTACCAGCTTTTAAAACATTTACCTGATTCATGTC